GTAGAGCTTCATCATGTCTCACTCTGTGTAGAGCTTTATCATGTCTCACTCTGTGTAGAGCTTTATCATGTCTCACTGTGTAGAGCTTTATCATGTCTCACTGTGTAGAGCTTTATCATGTCTCACTGTGTAGAGCTTTATCATGTCTCACTCTGTGTAGAGCTTTATCATGTCTCACTCTGTGTAGAGCTTTATCATGTCTCACTCTGTGTAGAGCTTTATCATGTCTCACTCTGTGTAGAGCTTTATCATGTCTCACTCTGTGTAGAGCTTTATCATGTCTCTTGTGTAGAGCTTTATCATGTCTCACTCTGTGTAGAGCTTTATCATGTCTCACTCTGTGTAGAGCTTTATCATGTCTCACTCTATGTAGAGCTTTATCATGTCTCACTGTGTAGAGCTTTATCATGTCTCACTCTGTGTAGAGCTTTATCATGTCTCACTATATGTAGAGCTTTATCATGTCTCATTCTGTATAGAGCTTCATCATGTCTCATTCTGTATAGAGCTTCATCATGTCTCACTCTGTGTAGAGCTTTATCATGTCTCACTCTGTAGAGCTTTATCATGTCTCACTCTGTATAGAGCTTCATCATGTCTCACTCTGTATAGAGCTTTATCATGTCTCACTATATGTAGAGCTTTATCATGTCTCACTCTGTATAGAGCTTCATCATGTCTCACTCTGTGTAGAGCTTTATCATGTCTCACTCTGTAGAGCTTTATCATGTCTCACTCTGTGTAGAGCTTCATCATGTCTCACTCTGTATAGAGCTTTGTCATATTTCATCACGCTCGGATGTGTGGAAAGCTGTAACTAGTCATGATAAAGCTTTGACAAACTAGATACATTCCTCTCACTATCTGAGGAAGGTATCCCCATATAGATTAACCCCAGCCTCCTAAACCTCAATGCATGTGAAAGGAATAGTGCAAAGTGAGGCATAGGCTTCTAATGCAGTTAAATAGCCTCGAAGGTTTGAAGTATATCCGAAGAGTCATCACATGGAAATTAATATCCTAATTTCAAGAAAATGGGGTAAATTAGAATGTGCACATCCCACATATAATTCAAACCTACCAGAGAGACCAGTATTTGAAGTTTGAAGCTTCTCCGATGCTACATTATCAAGCACTCAAACACGACACTCAGAAATTATAGCAGTGAAGTCAGTATATCTGATTTAAGTAAATAAGTAAGTTTGTTTAAGGAAAGGTATACGTAAGTCCAATTATCAAACATAGTAAGATATTAATGCATCCACGAACAAGTGGCTTTAATTTAAGGAAATAACAATAATGTGATTGGCCGGGAATTGAATTCCTGATATTTTAGCACATCTCGCTGGAAGCCTGCCAAAATTCCAAGACTCCTTCATCCACTCAGCCATCACTCAACAACACAGCACGCAACAATACATAGTGTAGCTTAGCAATAGTACAGGCAAGATAGCAACAACATTGCAATAATACATAGTGTGGCCTAGCAACAGTATAAGCAAGGTAGCAACATCATAGCAATACACAGTGTTGCTTAACAACCCCATGGCCTGGCTGGCAAAGCTCCCGCTTCACACACGGAGGGTCTGGGTTCAGTTCCCGGTGGGGCGGAAACATTTCGACACGTTTCCTTACACGTGTTGTCTTGCTCACCTAGCAGCAATTAGGTACCTAGGTGTTATTAGACTGGTGTGGGTCACATCCTGGGGGACAAGATTGAGGACCCCAATGGAAATAAGACAGCCAGTCCTCGATGATGCACTGCCTTTCTTGGGTTATCCTGGGTGGCTAACCCTCCAGGGTTAAAAATCCAAACGAAATCCTATCTTATCTTATCTTACAAATAAGGTAGCAACAACAATGCATAGTGTAGCCTAGCAGCAGTACAGGCATGGTAGCAACAACATTCAAATTGCTACATAGTTGCCAGTGATGTTTGTCATAGTTTATGCAGATCAAAATCTGCTTCATGTTGCCATATATTCCTTCATGTGAACTGCATAACCAACTGCAACATATTGCCAACATGCAATAAATCATCCTTTAGACACAATTAAAAATGGTTAGAATCATAACCATAACTTTTAAAGAGGTGGAGGGGTAAGCCAGTGGAAGGCCTCAGCCAGATGACCAAAAGCTCTACCTGTGGGTCATCATATGACTAAGACACACTTCAGGAAACACTTGAACTGTTTTCTGACAAACCTTACCTAACCTAACCTAGGCTCAGCTTCAATAAATCAACAAATAGTCTATACCAGGGTTTCCCAACCTGGGGCACATGTACCCCCAGGAGTACATTTGCACTTCTCAAAGGATACATAAACGTCTGAGTGAGGAAATATTTAGTCTGATACCTTGGCTATATTTAGTACTTTGACAACTTCTAGATCAGAATCCACAAATCTAAGACTGACATATTCAGAGAGTTAATCAGTGAGCATCTTATGAAGCTGGAAGAGGTACTTAAAGGATATTTCTCAAACCTTAGTGAAAATGAATTAGTGTATCTTCGGAATTCTTTCACTGCAAATGCTCAGGTGTTGCAGTATGGGACAGGTATACCTGGAGTATACCTGGAGAGAGTTTCGGGGATCAATGCTCCAGGAGCCTGGTCTGTGACCAGGCCTCCTGGTGGATCAGGGTCTGATCAACCAGACTGTTACTGCTGGCCACACACAGACCGACGAATGAATCACAGCCCGGCTGACCAGGTACTAACTAGGTGTCTGTCCAGCGCCTTCTAGAAGACAGCCAGGGGTCTATTGGTAATCCTCCTTATGTATGCTGGGAGGCAGTTGAACAGTCTTGGGCCCCTGATACCTATTGTGTTGTCTCTAGCACCTCATTTTTTCACTGGGGGAATGTTGCATCTCCTACCGAGTCTTTTTGCTTTCACAGGGAGTGATTTTGGTGTGCAAATTTGGTACTAATCCCTCGAGGATTTTCCAGGTGTACATTATCGTGTATCTTTCTCGCCTGCATTCCAGGGAACAGGAGTCAAGAGACTGAACCGTTCCCAGTAATTTAGGTGTTTTATCGTACTTATACATGCCATGAAGGTTCTCTCTACATTCTCCAAATCAGCAACCTCGACATAGACAGATTTCATACTACAAAAATCGGTGTAATTTTATAAATTTTTGATCCTTAATTTTAAGGGGTAAATGCATGGGAACCTGTCAGAATTTCCAAAGGTACAAAAGAACCACTGATAGTGTGTGTCAGTGATGTCAGCTAGGTCTGCATGTACGCCCAAATGTCATTCACCCTTGTATAAACATTGTATCATGCTCAAATAAATTATTATTGTTATTATACATACTTGTACCTTGTACTTCTAGAAATAAATATTATTATTATGATTGTTGGCTATTATTATTAATGTTATGTTAGTTATGTTAGTTATATTAATATTCTGATTGTTAGTTACTATTACAGGTTGACCATCACTAATCCGGCAATCAGTTATCTGGTTCCATCAGTAATCCTGCACTAATTTTGGTTAGCATAATTTCAAATTTCATCATTATACTGACTCAGAAATTGCACAGATGGTTGTAAATCCACAGCAGCAAGCCAGTGCAGGAGAAAGCAGTGATGAAAATGAGGAAGATGTAGCAGAAAGAGTCTCTATTGTAGATCTTATTATTATGGATTGAGAAAAGGATTTAGGAGTTCTGCTTAGTAGTACATAATCTAAAACCAAGACAACAATGCATTAGTGTTTGCAATATAACTAACAGAATCCTTGGCTTCATAGCAAGAAGTATAAATAATAGAAGTCCTCAGGTTGTTCTTTAACTCTGTATATCTTTGGTTAGGCCTCATTTAGATTATGCTGCACAGTTTTGGTCACCGTATTACAGAATGGATATAAATGCTCTGGAAAATGTACAAAGGAGGATGACAAAGTTGATCCTATGTATCAGAAATCTTCCCTATGAGGATAGACTGAGGCCCTGAATCTGCACTCTCTAGAAAGGCGTAGAATTAGGGGGGATATGATTGAGGTGCATAAACGGAAAACAGGAATTAATAAAGGGGATGTAAATAGTGTGCTAAAAATATCTAACATAGACAGGACTTGCAGCAATGGCTTTAAATTGGAAAAATTCAGATTCAGAAAGGATATAGGAAAACACTGGTTTGGTAATAGAGTTGTGGATGAGTGGAACAAACTCCTGAGTACCGTCATAGATGCTAAGACATTGTGTAGTTTTAAAAATGGGTTGGATAAATACATGAGTGGGTGTGAGTTGGACCCGACTAGCTTGTGCTACTAGGTCGGATGCAGTGCTCTTCCCTTAAATGACATGTCTGACCTCACTAGGTCAAGGCATTGGCTTAAGCCGGTGGGAAAATTGGAGCTGCCTCGCATAGACCAGTAGGCCTGTTGCAGTGTTCCTTCTTTCTTATGTGCTTATGTTCTTATGAGGGCAAATATTCTATTAGTGGGATGGATTTGTAAAGGACCTGCCTAGTATGGGCCAACAGGCCTGCTGCAGTGTTCCTCCTTTCCTATATTCTTATGTAATTAAGTGTATTCTAACCTAACCATTCTGTAGTCTGGCAAACTCACTAATCCGGCACATTACAGGTCCCAATGATGCCGGATTAGTGATGGCCGACCTGTAATATCATGATAATTATATTATTAATGTTATTATTGGGTGAGTGGTTCTCGAATTATGGATGAAATAAAATGGAAAATTTTAAGGAAAAAAAAACATAAACCACACATTTTAATTAAACTGCAGGTTATCATGCTGATGGCCTACATGTAAGCCTAATTATGTTGCAGGTTGATTATCATTCTGACAGCCTACATATAGGCCTGATTATGTTGCAGGTTGATTATCATTCTGACAGCCTACATATAGGCCTGATTATGTTGCAGGTTATCATTCTGACAGCCTACATATAGGCCTGATTATGTTGCAGGTTGATTATCATTCTGATAACCTACACATAAGCCTGATCACATTGCTATGTTGCAGGTTGAATACCGAGCTGACAGTGTGCGCCTGGACCTGATAAGGACTGGTCGTCAGGGTAGTCCACTCCTCCACGTCAAGGGCAAAGTGGACTATATGTGCCTGGAAGTGGAAGCTGGCGACCCTGTCTCTTATACCACACAAGAATCTTACTTGGTATGTACACACACACATGCATGCACACACACACACACACACACACACACACACACACACACACACACACAACACACACACACACACACACACACATGTGCACTTGCACATACACATATGCATACGTTTGCTACTGCAAGCACCTGAAGAAAGATTAGTGACAATGTGAAAGGCCTAAAGCCACTTTCCCACAAATCCAGCGGCTTTGTACACACACACACACATTTCTCTCCTATCACTACTTTCTCTCTCTCACTTAAAAATAAAGCTAGTACACTTTTTCTTTAACACAGTTTCTCGCCACAAGATGACAAAAAGAATAAAACATTCACCATCACTTACTCTTTATATATATATATATATATATATATATATATATATATATATATATATATATATATATATATATATATATATATATATATATATATATAAACTAAAATTTGTTTTTTTCATATAAATAATTTAAGGAAATATATACGTACATGTATATGTATTTTTGCGGAGATGTGTTGAATATTTGAGTTAATGCAGTTTAAATTTTTTTCCAACAACCCTCTCTCTCTCTATCTCTTTATCACTCTGTCTTTTTCTTATATCTCTCTGTCTATTTCTCTCTCTCACCTTTATTTTTATCTTTTCTTTCTCAGTCTTCAGCTAATAATATTTTCAGGTATGTGTGTGTGTGTGTGTGTGGTGTGTGTGTGTGTGGTGTGTTTGTGTGTGTGTGTGTGTGTGTGTGTGTGTGTGTGTGTGTGTGTGTGTGTGTGTGTGTGTGTGTGTGCGTGTGTGAGCATGCGTGCATGTGTGTGTGAGCATGCGTGCGTGCGTGCGTGCGTGCATACATGCGTGCGTGCGTGCATGCATGCATATGCACGCACATGGGTGCACATGCACGCACATGGCTGCACTTAAACCTGTAAGAATGGTCATATGACCCTTATGGCAGGAATGGGAAGCCACCGAGCTCTTGATCCAAGGAAAGCGAACGACCAAAAAAGAAGAGCCAGATCCAGTTCCTTGGATCAAGAGCCCATTTTTAAAGGATATCTCTAAAAAAATAAAAGTTAATCACCATTTTGACTGATGTTTCACTGTAGTGTTCACCGTAAAGCACTGTCGTCACCGCTGCATCCACTGTCACTGTCCTGGCACTTTACTATACCATAGTTGCACTGTTCTTCACTGTATCATACCATAGTTGCACCATAGCAGTGCAACCACCAGCACAAAAGTTCCATAGGCAATGTGTACCATATTGACAGTGAAATGTACCACAGACTGACTGTACCATTGTGGCAGTGAAATGTAACATAGGTACTGTGTACCACTGTGGCAGTGAAATATGACATAGGTACTGCCTGTGTACCATTGTGGCAGTGAAATGTACCATAGGTGCTGTTAAGTACTACTGTGGAAGTGAAATCCCACCTCCTGGTCTACAAAGGTGAAATTGATCACCTATTCTGCAGATGAGCATTTACAAAGGTGAAATTGATCACCTTGTCTACAGAGTGCATTTACGGATGTCAGTGACCACCTGACCTACACAGGTGCATTTACAAAGGTGAGCATTTTCAATAAATTTGATCAGTTGGTAAAAACATCAGTTTTGATCAAATTTATGAGAGAGAGAGAGAGAGAAAGAAAGAAAGAAAATGAGAGAAAGCAAAAGAGAGAAAGAGAAAGAGAGAAAGAGAGAGAGAGAAAGAGAGAGAGACTGACCCCAGAACTGACCTGACCTGACCTCTCGCAGGATGGTCCAGAGAACGGAGTAGTTAAATTCACTCGACCCGACACTTCACTGGTAAGGTCCAACCACCATTGCTATCACCACCATTGCTACCACTACTACTACCATCACCACCACTGCCTTGTGTGCATGCACTGAGCACTCACTGGTACCCCTGCCTCTACCCATCTACCCCCTATTCCTTCCCTACCTCACATTAAATAGACAAAAACTATCCAGCAAGAGCAATTTTTGACTACCTTTGACCTCAGAGGCAAGAAAACGACCTTTTTGACCCAGCCTTTGGTTGACCCATGTCAGGTTCTCTGTCTAACATACAAGAAAACTACTCAATCATCAATAATAATAGTAATAACAATAATAATAATAATAATAATAATAATAATAAAAAATTATAATTTTTTATTAACCCATAAATTGGAAATGAAATGTACATTTCAATCTAATCTTTTTATTATTGTTATTATTATTGAAACATACATTTCAGTCTATGCCAATATTATTACATGTATTTTTGAAACATGTTTCAGTCTAGTCTAACTATTATTATTAGTCAAACATATGTTTCAATCAAGCCTCATTATTATAATTTTAATCATTATTATTTAAATCAGTTTGGTATTACTGTACATATAAAATGCAGTAGATTCTTGTAATTGTGTGGGTTCCGTTCTTGAAATTCATCTCTATATGAGATACTATCATGAACTGTGGAGTTTGCAACATTTGAGATAATCAGGGTTAGGTTCTCTGAACCCTCACTTAATGCATGTGAATTAAATAAGAATAAAAAAAAAGTACTGCTGTCCAGAGCGCGGGGCGTTGACCCGACTCTCTCTCTCTGCCAGTATGCTAGGCAGGTCCTTTTCAAACCCAATTCATTCTTTTAAAAGCTATCCAAGGCTTGCTTTAAAAACAGGTTGTACAACAGCTTACATAGCTTTAAAATGGGTTTGAGAAGGACTTGCCTAGCATAGGCCAGTAGGCCTGCTGCAGTGCTCCTCTATTTTTTTTTTTTTTTTTTTTTTTTTTTTTTTGCAAGTCACCCATTTCCATGCATAAGCATGAAAATGGGTGAGTAAGTACGTTTATTTAGGTTTAGGTACAGGAACACATATGTAGGTACAATTATCATACCTAATAACACATGTGTAAATTACCCAAAATAACCCTAAAAAATCAGCAATATCAACTACTGCCACCATAAAAACATATCACATTTCCTTACCAAATTGCACCAATAGTCAGTGGTGCAACTACAGGAAGAATAGAAGATGGGACAGGCAGTGGCATGAGGGGGGACTAGAGCTTCCCAACATGCTATTGCAATACCTTTTTTTCAAATAATGGGTAATTTTCACTCTATTGTAGTGACTAGTGACCACAAAATCACAAATTGTATTTTAAGGTGATTTCCTTGATTTCTTCAGCATCCTGTGATTTTTAAGCCTCTCGATTAAAATCTCGCCAGCTTTAGCCCCCTTTAACCCCGTGATATTGTAGCTTAAGCCACTTACATTAGATAAGTGAGTGAGTAAGTTTATTCATGTACAGGTACACATAAACAGTTACATAAATTATTATACTTAGTGGAATATATGCAGATTACCTGTGATAACCACAAAAAAGTCAGACAAAATGACTTACAGTATTTCCATTGGGGACATTCAGTTCAGGAATTTGAACTCAATTCAGTACAAGAACTTGAAAAATTAATTTGAGTTATAGTCTAGTAAGGTTATAGGTATAATTATTTACATGACATTATCATACAATGCATTTTCATCATACTAATCTGACAATGAGCAGGAGTGTGCACAGAGGTATGATTACTTCAGATCAGTGACATAATTTTTTTCTCTCTCTGATTGAATTTCGGTTACAGCAAAAAAAAAAAAAAAATAAAATCACTCTGCTTATTCTGCAAAAAAAAAAAAAAAAAAAAAAAAATTATCCTGCTTATTAGGCCAAAAAAAAAACCTGCTTATTTGGCAAAAAAAAAAAAAAAATCCTGCTTATTTTGCAAGAAAAAAAATCACTGCTTATTCGGCAAAAGCTCATTTTTTTTTTTTTGCCAAGCTCACCAGTTTGGCAAAAAAAAAAAAAAAAACCACATTTAGAAATAACCCATATTTCCCACACTGACAGTCAGAAGGCCTCAGTATGGGTTAGCCTAGAGAGTACAGTCTAGAGTACATATTACAGAGGAATTATCTACACTTATTGCAAATAAATACAGAACATTATCAATATAATGGACCTCCACATAACATATACGGTTCAAAATCCTCTGGGTCAATCAACTTTCAACCAATAGACGAAGTCCATTCATTACCAAAACATTATCTATCCACCACAACTGTCATTATCGGCCATCTGCTTTCTCAGTTAGTCTGTTATATGGATGGTTCACATATACTAGAGATAAAAGCATTCGAAAAAGTAATAACTATGAAAAATGTATTAAAATAGTGCAGGAGTTGGCGAGGGCTATAGGGCCACCAGTGCATGTGTCGTGTCGAGCAAAATGCTCACACACCACGGCCGAGTCAGCAGCTGGCTTCACCCTGGCTGTAGGAATCCCACCAAAAAAACAATTTCATAGATGTTCCATTTTTTCAGGGGTAAACATTACAGAAAATGTTTTTTGGGGCAAAATTTCCATCGCAATAAACTAAAAAACACTAGAAGTTTGGTCAGTTGTGGAAGTCTGAATTAAATTATAATTTACTACTGTAACTGTACGCTCTTAAGAAATATATTTTTAATTTTAAACGAATATTACTATTAAAAAAATATTTTATGTTACTAAAAATATTTACTAATATTTTAGTTACAATTATAAAAAAAATATTTTATTGTTTTTACTGGAAGTGCAACAAAGATGCCAGTTGTAACAAAAAATTATAATGATTTTAGTTTGACTATCTGTTCCTCTCCCTCGTTAATTCCCTCTTTTGTTTTTTCAGATAAATAAAAACTGAAAAAAATTTCAGACTGGTCATTATTATTAGTAGTAGTTATATTATCATTAGCATTATTATTATTGCCATTATTATTAGTAACAGCAGTAGTATTATCATTATAAGTACATTTATTCATACATTATCATTTTTAGTAGCATTATGATTATTACTATTCTTACATATACTATTACATACATTATTATTATTACACATTATCCTTATTAGCACATATTACTATTATCATTGTTGCTATTATTATTATCATTATTGTCATTAGAATTGTCATTATTTTAATTATTATTATTAATATTGCGACTCATGTATCATGTTATAATTCTGACCTTCAGAGGCTGGTCAAATGCTTATTTTATTTTCTATTTGACCTATTTTAACTATTTTTTTTATCTGACCTATTATTTTACCTATTCATCTTATGTTTTTTTTAATTCAAATTTTTAGCATTATGTGTATACAGTGGACCCTCAACCAGCGATATTAATCCATTCCTGAGAGCTCATCGTTAATCGAAATTATCGTTAGTCGAGTTAATTTTCCCCATAAGAAATAATGGAAATCAAATTAATCCGTGCAAGACACTCAAAAGTATTGAAAAAAAAATTTTACCACATGAAATATTAATCTTAATACACACAAACTGAAGAAGACATGCACAGTTACATGACACTTACCTTTATTGAAGATCTGGTGATGATTGATGGGATGGGAGGAGGGGAGAGTGTTGATCTTCTTAGTGTTTAGAAGGGGAATCCCCTTCCATTAGGACTTGAGGTGGCAAGTCCTTTTTCGGGGTTACCTCCCTTGTTCTTTTAATGCCACTAGGACCAGCTTGAGAGTCACTGGACCTCTGTTGCACAACATATCTGTCCATAGAGGCCTGTACCTCCCGTTCCTTTATGACATTCCTCAAGTGTTTCACAACATTGTCAGTGTCACAATTAAACACTTGTTCAGGTTTCAATTCTTCACTGTCTATGTACTCCTTGAATTCCTTCACATATTTTTCAGCTGCTTTTTGGTCCAAACTGGCAGCCTCACCATGCCTTGTCACACTATGTATGCCACTACGATTCTTAAATCTCTCAAACCAACCTTTGCTGGCCTTAAATTCACTCACATCACCACTAGTTGCTGGCATTTTTCTAATTAAATCCTCATGCAACTTCCTAGCCTTTTCACATATGATCACTTGAGAGATGCTATCTCCTGCTATCTGTTTTTCGTTTATCCACACCAATAACAGTCTCTCAACATCTATCACTTGCGATCTCAGTTTCAAAAACATAGTTGCACCTTTGGCAAGAACAGCTTCCTTGATTGCCGTTTTCTTGGCCACAATAGTAGCGATGGTTGATTGGGGTTTTGTGTACAACCTGGCCAGCTCGGAGACACGCACTCCACTTTCATACTTAGCAATGATCTCTTTCTTCATATCCATAGTAATTCTCACCCTTCTTGCTGTAGGGTTGGCACTAGAAGCTTTCTTGGTACCCATGGTGACTTATTTTGCAGGTGCAATCACTAAAAAGGCTGTGATAATATGAAATGTTCCGAGTGTATGCTTGAAAGCGACCGCGGTGGCTGGCTGGCTTGTAAACACTGGCCAGAAGTGGACGCGTCTCAGACGGAATGAATAGTGTTGGTCGAGTTTTTTAGCGCTAGTCGAGGCAAAATTTTTGCGTTAAAATGTATCGCTGGTCGGATTTATCGTTAATCGATGCCATCGTTGGTCGAGGGTCCACTGTATATATATTTTATATATATATATATACATGTATATCCATCAATCCCTCTAGGGTGTCCATCACTCCCTCTGGGTTCTCCATCACTCCCTGTAGGTTCTCCATCACTTCATCTCTCTCTCCATCACTCCCTCTAGGTTCTCCATTACTCTCTCCAGCTCTCCATCACTCCCTACATTACTCCCTCTGGGCCTCCAGCCCTCCCTCTATTACTCCCTCTAGGCACCCCATCACTCCCTGTAGCCCTTTATCACTCTCTCCAGCCCTCCCTCACTGCTTTTCACTGCACTTATTGTTATGGAATGGCACCATTTGGCACTGTCAGCACAAATTAGCACAGATGTCACCCACCAGCACTTCTTGTGGCACATTTTAATCTCTGTCTCTCTCTCTCTCTTACATGCTATATTCACTATGGTCTAAATTTGTGTATTTCCCCTATTTTAACTCCTAAGAGAAGTTCTTTCTATTTTCACTTGCAAAACTTACCTCCTATTTGACTTTCTAAACATTACTTTGCTATATATCTGCTATAACCAATTTTTGCTATAGTTAACCCTATGATTGGTTGAAATTACCTGTTGTTAATTACCTGTCTATAATTACCTATCTGTTCCTATTTTCAATTACCTATCTGTAATTGCCTATTTTCAGTTACCTATCTGTAATTACTTATTTTAAATTATCTATCTGTAATTACCTATTTTCAGTTACCTATTTATGACTCCAGGAGCAGATCTGTATTTTTTAAGATTTTTAATGGTTGTAGATCTTCCTCTTGTGTGTGTGTGTGTGAGAGAGAGAGAGAGAGAGAGAGAGAGCTAGCTCTTATGTGTAACCCCACTCACCCCAATCCTTCCCTAATTAAAATACTTCTCACCCTATTACGTATCAATTAAAATACTCTGGGCATCACCCCCCATGACATGAGGTTACCAGATCATGCGACTAAATTGACTCTCTCTCTCTCTCTCTCTCTCTCTCTCTCTCTCTCTCTCTCTCTCTCTCACTATCTCTAACCACCCTCTCATTTTACTACCCCTAACCTATGCACTGACAAAAATTATACCATATATGTATATTAGTTATTTCTCTTATAAAAAGATCCTCAGTGCAGTTTTTTTTAATGCAATTGAAACAGTTGATCCAAAATTGAATACCAGTTGAAGATATCTTCACAGTAAATGCTATTCAATTTCTAAATCATTTTTTTCTCAATTGCACTTGCCACAAAATTGCTCTATAAGAAAACCTGTATAAGAGAGCTTATTATATATATATATATATATATATATATATATATATATATATTATATATATATATATATATATATATATATATATATATATATATATATATATTCGCACGGGCCTTGTATGTTTATATTGTTTTAATGTCACCTTTGCAACCCCCCCGTGTTGCACAGTTGTTACACGTGTGGAACATTCCTGTGTGTTTCAGGTGTGTGTGTACTCACCTTGTGGTTGCAGGGGTCGAGTCATAGCTCCAGGCCCTATAGCTCCTGTGTGTGTCATGCCTATATATGTGTTCCCTAATTAATATACCAGGTGGCAAGTCTTGCCAGCCTGGCTGCCAGGATTAATATATATTAGACTACCAGGATTAAAATATACTAGGATTAATATATTAATATATTAGACTTCTAGGATTAATATTAGACTACCAGTATTAATATATTAGACTACCAGGATTAATATATTAGACTACTAGGATTAATGTTAGACTACCAGGATTAATATATTAGACTACCAAGATTAATATATTAGACTACCAGGATTAGTATTAGACTACCAGGATTAATATATTAGAATACCTGGATTAATATATTAGTCTACTAGGATTAATAGAATACCAGGGTTAATATATTAGAATGCCAGGATTAATATATTAGACTACTAGGATTAATATTAGACTACTAGGATTAATATGGTAGACAACCAGGATTAATATATTAGACTACCAGGATTAATATATTAGACTACCAGGATTATTATTTTAGACTTCTAGGATATGTATTAGACTACTAGGATTAATATTATACTAGGATTAATATTAGGCTACCAGGATTAATATAGTAGACTATGAGGATTAATATATTACACTACCAGGACTAATGTATTAGACTACCAGGATTAAAATATTACACTACTAGGATTAATATTAGACTACCAGGATTAATAATCTGAATTCTGCAGCAATTTTTTTATACAAATTTAAAGCTTTCAAAAATCATTAAATTTTTGTTATAAAATTTTGATCTCTGTGTATATACATTGAGAGGTATCTGTCAGTTTGCTTTAATCACTATTTTAGGTATCAAAGTATCCTTGACTGGTGGTGTACAGGCGACATGCAACCTTAATGACCTTCAGTGAGTCAATAGTCTTTAAATCCACTAATCAACTACAAGTGTTCCTTGACTAACAATGACTCGGCTTATGATATCTTGACTTTACGATGGTGCAAGAGCAGTTACTTTGGAGATGAAACTTGAGATAATTACCCAGTATGGAGGTGGCAAGCCCATAATTTGTATTTATTTATTTACTTTCCAATACTGGTATTTATAGTAATTATTTATTTACTTGTTTACTGACAGTAGTTATTTATTTACAATAGGTCTTCAACTTACAAACATGTTGGGGACCTTTCATATTGTGTACAATAATGATATAATAATTATATACACAATAATATAATAAAGGCATTACATATACACAATACAGAGGATTCTCAACATGTCTATAAGTTGAGGACTTACTGTATTTATTTATTTATCGTATATTCATGTTCTGAAGAAGGGGTGTTAATGTTGCAATTTTATAACTGTAGTGTAAGTGCACCTCTGGCAAGACAGTGATGGAGTGAACGATGATGAAAGCTTTTCTTTTTCAGGCCACCCTACCTTGGTGGGAGACGGCCAGTGTGTTAATAAAAAAAGATATGAGTCGAACATCTCCGTATTGGATGTCTTATTGCTGCATTTGGGACTTAACAACACATTTCTTCCTAGTCATTCCTGCCAGCAGCCCTTCAACTCATCTCCCACTATCCTTCCATTACCAGTGCACACACAGCTATTATACAGTCTCCTACCCAAGGACCCCAATGGAAATAAGTCATTTTAACTTTTTTGGGCTATCTTAGGTAACTTACACTATGTATGATAATTGTTCTTCTGTACCTGTACCTAAATGAACTTAATCCTATTTTCACTGCTTTATAGTTTTCCATGAATGTCCTGTACTTCCACAGGTACTACCATAGCTTACCATTAATGTCTTATACCTCCACAGGTACTAACATAGCTTTCCATGAATGTCCTGTACTCATACAGATACTACCATAGCTTTCCATGAATGTCCTGCACTTCCACAGGTACTACCATAGCTTACCATTAATGTCCCATACCTCCACAGGTGTTACCATCATGGGAGGCAGCACGACAGGGCTCTGTGAGCTTCAAAATGCGGACAACAGAGCCCAATGGACTCCTCATGTTCAACTCTGGTTTCAAGGCTGATCAGGTAAGTGTCTTGAGGAAACAAATCTGTAGGGGTTGGGGTATCACAGCACATGGAAAGAATGGGAAGCAACCAGATTGCATCCAATGGGCTCCAGTTCCTCAGATCAAGAGCCTAGTGACCTATCTTTAAGAGCTAGTATGCAGGGAACTATACAAGAGGACCCTGCTGTACAGCACTTTGCTTTATGGCACTTTGCTAGTGCAGTGGTTTTCAATTATACCCAGTCTTCATTTATTCAGACATCTTGAAATAAATATGCATGTATTCACTATGAGATAAGGACGAAAATATTTTAATTAAGTAATGCGTGTGTAATGTAGTACAGTGGACCCCTGGTTTACGATCAGCTCCCAATGCGACCAATTATGTAAGTGTATTTATGTAAGTGCGTTTGTATGTGTATGTTTGGGGGTCTGAAATGGACTAATCTAATTCACAATATTCCTTATGGGAACAAATTCGGTCAGTACTGGCACCTGAACATACTTCTGAAATGAAATAATATTGTAAACCGGGGGTCCACTGTACTTATATTTTTAAGGCCTAGCTCTATTGCTCACTTAATATGTGATAGTATAAGCATGTTATCATGCTTTAATATGCAATTAAAAGTGAAAAAAAAGCTCTGATTCACTTTACAGTTATTTTCACTTTACAGCAGTAGCCTAGAACCTAACCTGCTGTATAAGTGGGACCCTTCCAGGAGGGCCCTGCTTATACAGCAGGTTAGGTTCTAGGCTACTGCTGTAAGCAAAACAGTTTTTTTTTCACTTTCAAATGCATTTAAAAGCCTGATAACATGTTTATACTATCATATATTAACTCTTTGACTGTTTCGGTCATATATATACATCTTACGAGCCACCGTTTTTGACTTATATATACTCAAATTCTAGTGGCTTCAGATCAAGCAGGAGAAAGCTGGTAGGCCCACATGTGAGAGAATGGGACTGTGTGGTCAATCTGCACCATATAAAAAAATCCTGCAGCACGCAGTGCATAATGAGAAAAAAAACTCCGACCTTTTTTTTTATTAAAATGCCGACTTTGTGGTCTATTTTCGTATAGTATTTATGGTTGTATTCTCGTTTTCTTGATCTCATTTGATAGAATGGAAAGCATATCATAAAAATAGAAGTGATTTTGATCAGTTTTACTATGAAAAGAACCTTGAAATGGAGCTTAAAGTAGGGGAAATGTTTGATTTTTGCCGATGTTCAAAAGTAAACAAATGATGTCATTTTCCAATAAATGTCCAAGTAGGCATTCTAATATGCACTCATGAATGGGTTGACATTATTTATACAATTATTACAGTATTGCAGTAGTCTGCATAACAGTAAATCTATTTTTTTTGTTTGAATAAAAATTCAGAATAGAAAGCAAGAGTAATATCAGAGGGGCCTGGAGACATGATTGATGAACATAGAAAATGTTATTTTAGAGCCAGGAATGTCTTCATTGTTCATTCTGGACCCTATTTTGAAATTGTCATTTTTTTTAATTTCGTGAAATTGGCCAAATTGCAAATTTTGACCACGTTATTGGGTAGTTGAAATTGGTAAATGGTCAGTTTCTTGTATTCAATCAATAGAAAAAATGGAATTCTAAAGAAATAGCTATGAGTTTGGTCGACTGGAACAATGGAATTATCCGAAAATAGGGCTCAAAGTGGGCAAAATCACCGATTCATAAATATCACTGAGGTTGCTAACTTCACGAGAGCGTAATTCCATCAGTTTTCCATCAAATTTTGTTTTTTTGGTGTCATTACAATCAGAAAAAGATTCTCTATCATTTCGTAAGAAAAATAATTTTTTTTTTTTTTTTTGGGGGGGGGGGGGGGGGGGATTTTGTGACACCAGGAGACACCTCAGGATTTGAGGTTGTGACAGTCAAGGGGTTAAGTGAGCAATAGAGCTAGGTCTAAAAAATGCATGTACTTACCTTTAAGATTATTTCAAAATTAAAACGGTTTCAATCTCATTATGTAAAATGTACCAAAATATAATACTGTAACCTGTTAATCAACTCATCTCAATCATAAAATCAGTTACTGCTAAACCACTAACTACCTCTGTTGAAATATAAAAGAAAATGACGTTCATTTCGAACCAGCTATGATATATATGCCTAGTGTTGAGTAGTCTGTTAAGCATTAGGTTTAGTCTGCTCAAAATGCTCTGGCATGATAGTAGCTTTCTTTGTACTTAGCAAATCAAAATGTTACTCAACAATAGTACATACTATAAAAGCCTCTCAGTATGCTATTCAGTGTTGCATGCACTTTTTTAATCTCATTTACAAAAAAAAAAAATTGCACTAAACAGAGGACTTTTATAAGAGCACTTAGCTAATAAAGACCTAGACTCATGTTTAGATTACAGTGACAATAACTGTTTAGTTTATGTTTGGTGCTAGACTCATGTGGGTCATTCAGGGCAAGAAGTGGTGGAGGCTCGATCCTCCATCTGCTGAGTGCAAGACAGATGCGCTTCCTATTAGTCCTCACCTATCACTATGACCAGTAGGTTTTACAGAAATTAACTACTATATTTTGTTTATTTATTGATTTTATGTATAAATTTCCTTAGCTTTGAAGCATTCACATTAACAATTTTCTTAGCTCTGAAGCATTTGCTAATTAAAAAATTTTCATTGCCAGGGTGATTTCTTTGCATTGGAGTTGCTGGAGGGTCACTTGTACTTGCACCTAAACCTTGGGTCAGGATCCCGACGAGTCAAAGCCACCAATAGGAGGGTGGATGATGGCTGGTGGCATGAAGTGACTCTCAACAGAGATGGCCAGGCAGGCAGGATCACTGTGGACGAGGGTGCTAATGACTTCACTACACCTGGTACACATTAATTATATTGTATTCTTTGCAGTGTAAATCTATAAGGGTGTCATACAGCGTCGGGGTAATGGAATGTTGGCAAGTGTGACTTGAGTACAGTAAGTCCTCGACTTACAAACATACTGAGAATCTTCTGTATTGTGTATAAAATCATTACTGTGTATAATATCATTATTGTTTATTATTATACACAATACAGGTCCCCAACGTGTTTGTAAGTTGAAGACTTCCTATATTATGAATATTATACACAATTCAGGAAGTCCTCAGTGTGTTTAAGTCGAGGACTTACTGTATACCTGGAGAGGGTTTCAGAGGTAAACACTCCCGTGGTCCGGTCTGTGACCAGGCCTCACGGTGGATCAGGGTCTGATCAGCCAGGCTGTTACTGCTGGTCTCATGCAAAACAACATACAAACCACAGCCCAGCTGGTCAGGTACTGACTTTAGGGTTAGTAACTTGGGATAAATCAGTCTGGTTCGTGCATCATGGACCGTCAGTCCTATTTCTATTGAGGTTCTTTAATTCTCCTCCCCAGGAAGAAGATTCAAGATAAGAAATTAAATAAATGTATTTAGATACAGGTCCACATAAGTACAATTATCAATCATAGTAGCATATGTGTAAACTACCTGGGTAACCCAAAAGAGGTCAAAGTGAATTATTTCAGCATATTTACACAAGCAGAGTTATACATACTCTTTTATATTAATAATATGACTTGGTAGATTGTTTTTTCATATTACACACACACAAAATATTAGAAGAACCCCAGTGTAAATAAGTAACCTTGTCTGACTCTTTTGGGTTTTCATGGGTAATTTACACACGTGTTATGTATGATAATTGTACTTATGTGGACCTGTACCTAAATAAACTTACCTACTTACACATCTGGGTGTTAGTGGGTTGGTGTGGGTTACATTCTGGGGGACAAACTTGAAAGACCCCAATGAAAATAAGATATACAGTCCTTATTGACTTACTGACTTTCTTGGCTAACCCTCCAGGACAAAAATCTGAACAAATCTCATCTCGTCTTATCTTACACCCTCAGGAGAGTCTCATCGCCTGGATCTTGATGGCGCACTTTACGTAGGCGGGGTAAACACAGGTGTGGTGGTGCCCCCTGAGCTCTGGACAGGAAGACTTGGTCTGGGCTATGTGGGTTGTCTGAGAGACCTGGTCATCAATGGGCTGCCGGCAGACCTTGCATCGTATGCCAAAAAACAGGATTCTGGTAAGCTTGCAAACTGACAGCATCAGTATGAAGTACATCACTATACAGTACATCAATATATAGTATATCAGTGTACAGTACAGTTATGTACACTACATCAATGTAGAGTACAATAATGTAAAGTACATCGGTGTACAGTACATCAGTGTGGAGTACATTAATGTAAAATACATCAATGTACAGTACATCAGTGGTATTATATACTCCACAAACAAGTATGTTGATGAGAGACAATGTAATTTATAGCATTTATTGAGACGATGACTTGTTCATCCAAGATTTTATTAATTCATAAAGTATCTGGGGAATATTCCTAAAGTACTTTGCATAACAATGGTCACCGAAAAAATATACTTTCTAATGTAGGAGAAAGTGCTAAACCCGTAGTGGGTCATACAGCACTTGGGTAATGGGAGGCAGATTTGATCCAAGGTAATGGATGAATAGTTCACTTCCTTGGATCAAGAGCCCCTCACCATTATTGAGGAACTCTCCTTGAGGGGTCAAAAAAATGTAGAGATGTAATCCCAGAGTTAAATCAACACCTTGTTTTCTTTTGTTTTTTGAATAAAATTTGACTTTGAAACTGATTTTTTACGGTACCTACAGGTTTTGAGCCTTTACTGATATTTCATTCATACAGTGGGCCATACAAAATACAATTTTATTTCTTAGCACAGTACAAAATAATGCAGTTTACATGTAATAAAACAATGAGAGGTACAAAAAAAGCCACTAGCATGCAAGGTATTTCAGGCAAAGTACAGTATATCAAATCACAAACTTTTGGATTTGATAAAGCCCACTGTGTGGGGACAACATTATCAGTCATGGAAAGTATTATACTCTATTTGTCTCTTACAATCTGCCTTTGTTCCCACTGCATAAGTATCATATAGAATATGGTAGCAGCATACTAGTGATACATCTAATTTTGTTAAAAAACAAAAACCTTGTCGGCCTGAAATGCCTGAAACACTCTGGCATTTTATAAAAATATAATCACACACTGTAATCTCTGTGAAGAAATAAAATTTTGTTTTGTAATTTATACCATTTTCTCTGCTATAGGTTCCATCGTTAGTTTCTGCCACAGTGATGGAGGATCTTGTTCTTCCTCACCATGTATGCATGGAGGTACCTGCAGGGAGGGCTGGGGACGGTTCATCTGTGACTGTTCCCACACAGCGTTTGTGGGTCCAACCTGCGGCAAAGGTAAGGCTCTAGACCAGCTGTTCCAAACCTTTGTCCAGTGTGATGACCTCTTTTACAGCCCCCACATGGTAAAGTAAACTCTATATAATGGACATTGATATAACAAATTTTTAAAACAATTGGGAAAAACCACTTCATAAAGTATATATGTAACTCCTTTATTTTTTAATCTTTATTGCAATAAAACTAAGTTGTGTGTACAGTAGTATTACATATAGTGCAATAGAAACTTTAATGCCTTCTATAGTTTAAGCATTATCCTGAGTTAGTGGATACCAGGATAATCCCCTCTATTAGTTCTTTATATTGAAAAAATATATGAAAGAACCCCATTATAAACTCAGTAATGCTTTGAGGATTATATGGAATAACTTGAGGGTATGCATACCACAGTATGAAATCTATTAATGTATATGACTTTTTTTGTGCTATTCCTTTTTATTTACAGTCAGTTCTCTTATAAAGTTCCCATATATAGTCTGATTTTTTTGTAAGTATAATTATAAAACTTCATCTAAAACGTGATAGCATGTATTATGAAGGTTAGGTAAGATTCATACCTGGAGTTAATCTGCACTTTTTCAATTTCATTTACATGAATAGACTTTGTCTATTAATTGTTTCAGATTTCCAAAGTCTGTTATATGTCTATTATATTTCATGTTAGCTTATTATCCTCACTGTTTCACTATACAGATGCAGCAACCCTGAGTTTCGATGGGTCTCAGTATGTGAGGATTGTTCTCTGCCCAGGAGTCCAGCACACAGGCAGAGGATATAAACTTCAGGTTCCGCACTAATCGACCAGTGGGACTCCTCCTGGCCACCACATTGCTCAGTCTTCTGATAAACTGGAACTTGCTCTCCAGTCTGGCAAACTTCGACTAACTGTCAAAATTGGCGATAGGGACAAGGTAAGACAACACAGTAATAATGGCAGTGGTAGTAATAGTGGTGGTGGTGGTGGTGATAGTAGTAGGGTTTAAATTAGTAGTAGTGGTAGGGTGATAGTAGTAGTAGTAGTAGTAGGGTATAGTAGTAGTAGTGGTAGGGTGATAGTAGTAGAGTAGTAGTTTAAAGACAGTAGTAGAGTAGTAGTAATGACAGTAGTAGTAGTAGTTATGATAGAAGTAGTAGTGATGATAGAAAATATAGTGAAGATAGTAGTGATGACAGTAGTAGTAGTAGTAGTAGTTGTAATGACTAGTAGTAGTAGTGATGATAGAAGTTAGTAGTGTAAGATAGTAGTAGTAGTGAAGATAGTAGTGATGACAGTAGTAGTAGTAATAGTGGTAGTGATGATAGTAGTAGTAGTAGTTTAATGATAGTTGTAGTAGTAATGATAGTAGTAGTTGTAGTAGTAGTGATGATAGTAGTAGTAGTAATAATACTGATAGTAGCAGTAGTAATAGGGTGATAGTAGTAGTGGTGGTGATGATAGTAGTAATAGTAGTGATGATAGCAGTAGTAGTAGTGATAGTAGTAAAAGTAATGTGAATGACCTGGGTGTAGTAATGTCCGAAGATCTCACCTTCAAGGACCACAACAATGCCACTATCACAGTTGCAAGGAAACTGATAAGATGGATAATGAGAACATTCAAGACAAGAGATGCTAAGCCAATGCTGATCCTTTTTAAATCACTTGTTCTCTGTAGGCTGGAATACTGCTGTACATTAACATCCCCATTCAAGGCAGGTGAAATTGCAGAGTTAGAGAATGTACAGAGAACCTTTATTGCACGTATAAGTTCCATCAAACACTTTAACTACTGGGAATGCCTAGAAGCACTTGACCTGTACTCACTAGAGCACAGGCAAGAGAGAGATGTATCATAATCTACACCTGGAAGATTCTGGAGGAACTGGTTCTTAATCTGCACACAGAAATTACTCCCTATGAAAACAAAAGACTTGGCAGGCAATGCAACATACCGCCAGTGAAAAGTAGGGGTGCCACTGGTACCCTAAGAGAAAGCACAATAAGTGTCCAGGGCCCAAGACTGTTCAACAGCGTCCCTCCAGCCAAAAGGGGGCATTACCAATAGACCCCTGGTTGTCTTCAAGAGGGAGCTGGACAGATACCTAAAGCCAGTGCCGGATCAGCCAGGCTGTGGTTCATACATTGGACTACGTGCAGCCAGCAGTAACAGCCTCTTTGATCAGGCCCTGATCCATCGGAAGCCTGGTCATGGACTAGGCCAATGGGGGCGTTGATCCCCAGAATTTGCCCTCCAGGTAGGTAAACTCAAGGTACAAGGTATACAGGCCTAGCTGACATCAATGACATACATGTACTACTATAGAAAGCCTCTTGTTACACAGAGCATTTCGGGCAAATTAGGTCAATTTTGTCCCAGGAGGCAATGAACACCAGTCGATTAAGACCAAAGTACCCATTTTATACTGGTGGGTAAACATGGACAGGTGTCTTATGGAAGCACTTCCCTAATATTATCCAGCCGTACTGGGGATTCGAACTCTGGACCTCAGTGTGTGAGCTCAGTGCACTAGCTATCAAGCTACGGGACACTGTTAGAACATTCATGTACAGCAATAAACCTGTAGCAATAACACAATTCTTGAGTTGGGTTTGAAATAATGAAATAATTGTTCTAATTCCTTGAATCAGAAGTCCTTCACAATCTTGTAGGAACCTCCTGAAGAGTCAGCATTTATTTTTCATTAGTAAAGAAAAAATAAGCATTTTTAAAAGCCTCGTTTAAACCTTTTAAAGTCATATAGCCCAATTACATTATTTTTTTTTAAGAATTGCATTTGATCATAGTATATAAAATTAGATTTATAAAGGGATTATATTATATTTTGCATATGGATTTTATTCAATTATTTAAATTGATTTATTTTATATATTTCCTGCATGTAGTAGGTTGGTAGACAGCAACTGCCCAGGGAGGTACTACCGTCCTGCCAAGAGAGTGTAAAACAAAAGCCTGTAATTGTTTTACATGATGGTAGGATTGTTGGTGTCTTTTATCTGTCTCATAAATATGCAAGATTACAGGTATGTCTTGCTACTTCTACTTACACTTAGGTCACACTACACATACATGTACATGTTTATTTTTTGTTGTGCAAGAATGGTATATAATACCGACAAAATGAAATTAAGACACATGTGCAACATCTGGGTATCTTTATTGTAGACGTTTCGCCATCCAGTGGCTTTATCAATACAAATTCTAGGACATAACTTGAAGACAGTAGGACTATGTACAGAAGATGAGGTAATCAGTCCCTCAACCTTGGAGTAGGTGCGAAGAGCACCATAGTCGTGGAGATTCTGAAGCAGAAGCAAGGAGCCTGGCACTTATAGTACGTCAGGTAGCGCAAG